GAGACTCAGTCACATAAATCCTTTGGCTGGCAAGCTGTGTTAGTAACGTGGAGGAGCTGCCCTGGTACCTTCCCCAGCAGTTCCTTAGTTTTAACAGCCCATACATGATTGTAAACTAGACTTTCAGCTTCATCGCTACTCCTGTCCCCCTTTTTTGAATATGAGACCTCTAAATTTGTTACTTCTCTTAGGGAGACTAAAAGTGACTTTCCCCTCTTCATCATTTCCTACAAAACTCGTGCTGTCCTGTTTGTACCACCTCATCAGCAACCCCTCATTGTGCTTGCCTTGTTACAGTCCCTTCTTCTGGGTTCTCCACTATGTTTCTTCTTTTCTATTTTTGAAAAAAAAAGTAAGAGCTGTGTGTTGGGATTCCTTTGTTAAATTATATTCCACTATAAATCTCTAAGCATGTGAGGAATATTATGGGAAAGCTTCTAAACCACTGGGGAAGACGTAACTTCAATCTCTCCTCCAGCACCAAGTAGATACTGTTAAAAAGGAGAGTCTGGATTCTTTACAGGAACATGAGCCATCCCCCCAGGAAGTAATGTTCTTGCCATTAACATTAGGAAATCACAGCAGAACATAATGCAGCAGGTTATAAAAGACAGTGTAGATAGTGGAAATACAGTTTTAGTTTTGCTTTTTGTTTACAACAATACTTAGGATTTCTAATTATACTTACAGTTTATAAAATGTCTTGTAGAAAAATGAAATCATCTCTCAATTTTGGTGCCTGGGAGCATTTCAGAGCAGGGTTCAAGCAGAGCCCACGGGAGCCCTGTGGAGCTGCGGGTGTCCCAGCCGCGCTGCCTGATGCTGGTGCACCCGTAACCCCTCGGGCACTGGGCAGCCGCCCCCACCGTGTGTCCCAGGCGCGACGCCTCGGGGCTCGTGGGGCCGCCCTGGGGCTGCTGGCACCTCTGCCCTGGTGGCCACGTCCCCRCGGAGAGGCCCCGTCTCCCGCCCCCTGCTGCAGCTGCAGGCAGGGCCGCCCCGCGCGGGCAGCACCAAGCGGGAGGCTCCAGCAGAGCGGGTGAGTCCAGAGGGGAGCCGTGGTCAGCACCGTTAAGGCACCGTCTGTGCAACTGAGCAACCAGCAGCAGGGATTCACTCACACTGGGGTTAAGACAAATGTACTGCGCAACTACCACCACCTGCATCTCCGTTCCGTTTGGTTTTGATTCCAGTCACAGGGAATGTTTGCACTGGTCATAAATTGCGTAGACCGGACCATGGGCACCAACACTGCAAACTGTTTGTGTTGTAAATGGAATTCTTTAAAATTCTTTGCTCATCCTGAGTTTTCAAGTATTTAGACGTATTTTAAAATATCACCTGCCAAATAAGAGATTATTTAAAAAAAAAAAAAAAAAAAAAAGGAAATTACCAAAAATGTAGTAATGTCATGTACTACATCTACATTTAGTACCAAGAATGTAGTAATGTAGATATTAAAGATCAGATAGAAAGAGTTGCTCAAAATGTTACTCACAGCTGAAGGTAGATTTTTTGTTGTTGTTTTGTTGTTATTTAGTTTTTATGTTAGAACAAGCTTTTTATAAATCTCATGTAAAGGAAACATTTTTATGTGCTGTTGCCTCTTTCTAATTACTTCTTTAACTTTACATGCTGCACATCCAGAGTGCTCGGAGATGGTGTTCCCTGACCACAGAAATAACCGCTTTCAACACTGGCCAGATTCCTTGCAGTTTTTGTGTGCTTTATACACACATATCAGCCTCACCCACTCAGGCCAGAACTTTAGGGTGGTCAAATAAAACCTTCCCATCCCAAAATGCTGAAAATCAAATCTTCAGGCAAGAAATCTTAGTATAAAGTGATGAGCAAGGAAAATGTTTTGGAGCACGTTGTGAACTGTCATCAGATTGACCTGCAAAAGCTGAAGGAGATGGTGCAGCCAAAATGTGCGTTTTTAGAGGCACTGCAGGAAGGTCAGTCGTGAAGATACCCTGTGAGGTCCAATTGTACAGCAACAAAACAAAAGCACAAGAGAGCTCAGATCTTTTCTAGGCTACATAAGTGATAATGTATCTGATTATAAATACAACAGCCAAGCTACATTAATCCCCTAACACTACCTGACTAATTTTGATAAATGCTTATAGCATTAGTTTAAAGGGCCTAGGCTCTGCTTTTAGGTTTAAAATGGTAACATTTAATTAAATGTCCATTTAATTTGTTTATATGACTAATAGCAGGAAGTGTAATTAAACACAAGGTTTTTAAATGCTCACTCCTTTCCTAACATTAAATGTGAGCCTCATGAGATGCAAGTACAACGGGGGGCTATATTTGCTAAAATGAAAACAGCAAAAAAAGACACAAAAAGTGACAATCCACTGAATAGGAGAATATCAGCCCAACATAAATTAGTGCCTGTCACTACTGGTAGCCAGATGGTCATTATTCCGTGTTACAGAAGTATAACAAGTGTGTCAATAAAGATCTCATTATGAAGTTTTCATGGATTTATAATCCATGCATTTATAAGAATCATTTATATGCATTTATAAGAATCATTCAGGGGAATCCAGGAAAAGAGCATGAATGGAACAAAAAATGACATGTTTGTTTTTATAATTCACTGTCTTTTTCTGTTTTGGCTACTTTGCATGTTGGGGATATTTGCCATTGTGTGAGATAARCACCACCACTCGCTACCTGTCCTTTCTGTAACCGATGAATCTTCAACCGCAAGGGCCRTGTAACCCGAGCTCGGGCTTCTGGCTTCTGTCCCGGGCCAGCCCTCCTCTTGCCGCCGTGYGCTCGTGTCCACTGAAGGAGAGACACCCTCCAGTTCCTGCCGCTCACGGGCCGCTGCCGTCGACATCGGGGTTCCAAGCGCAGCCTCTGGCTGAGCTGAGCGAGGGGCTGGTGCCATGGAGCACGTGGAGCACACGGAGCATGTGGAGCACACGGAGCACGCGGCTCCGGATCGCAGCCCAGGCTAATCGCTCATACTGAGCACACATGAATACAGGCAATTTTAAAGGAAAATCCACATGCCCAACTCAAAAATAAGGATCAAAGGACTCAAATATATATGTATGTATCAGAGTCTGTTATCATTCTACTTTGTAAACTCTAAGTTCTATTATACAGGCAGTAAAATTTCTCCTCAGTAGCAAAAAAAAAGAAATACTTAAAAACTTACAGTTGTTCTTATTCTTTTTATTGGAAAGGCTGGATTATTTTTGCCAAAAATCATAAAATACTTCAGCCCAGATTTTCACTCAGAAGTGAAAAAGTTGTTCCATGGTTAAAACTTTAAAGTAATAATCTACTAAAAGCAGATGGTSAAATTGAAAAGCATCAGGCCTTACCCATAAGAAGCGTCACCATCTCTAGCAGTGCAGACAAGGCTGCCAGGTGGACACAAGGTTTTTGGGGCGTTCAGGTTGTTCCACTGTGGGGCTGGGTAACCTCTCACCAGCAGCTCTCCTCTCGTGCTCTCCTGCCCATGCTCACACTCACTGAGTTTCACATACCTTGTCATAAATCATTTCTGAACCTTTTTGAGGTATCTCTGTCCTTCCTTCTCCCAAATACTATTTTAATGCAAACAATTGATGATAATCTGTTCATTGAAAAAAACATAATCTAGCCACATTTGTTTTTAATTTGCTTCATATTATTTTTGTAATGTTTTGAACTCCATATGGAGCAATGAGGAGGACATCAGAAGGAATCTTCATCTTAGATCCAACCATATAATTGTATGTATACATACAATTGTATGTATAACCATACAATTCTTCCCCTCTACACATTTGCTAGATTAATATTTATATATCCCCTTACCCTTATCCTATTTATATTCCCACACCCCAAGAGCCCTTGATCCCCTGACGACACATGCACAGTTTTGTCTTTATGAACAGGATCCTCTTCTCATTTCAATGGTTACACTTATGTACTTCACATTGAATTCATATTATTTTTTGCAGGTCTTTTGCAGAATTCTGAAGCTTACCTCTGTTTCTGGCTTTTCCAAGACACCAGGTAGGGATATGTGCAACAGAAAGATCAAATTATTAAGTTTCACTGCTTATTTCTTCATTAGAGAGCTGGAGACAAAAAACACCAATAAAGTGTCTTACTTGACTTCTCTGGAAGTGAAGCAAAAGCAGTGTTTAAGGGTGGCTGTGGGAAAGCAAATACATTGCTTGAGTGACTTTATAGTGATATCTATTTTGTAACAACTGGAAAGTAACCGGGTGGGTGGTGTAGAAGAGAGGGAACTGTGAAGACCAAATGTTTAGCTGTATTCAACTGTAAACAGAGTGATAGTCAGTAAACAGCCTCTCCGAGGAGAGTAATTAAAAGGCACATGTGAAGAGATGGAAAAGAAGATGGATTCTTGCTCATCAGACATCAAAGGGAAGGCTGGACAGTGAGAAATTAAGCATACCCCACAGAGGCCACACAGCTGAATGTATGTAAGCTAGGAAAGGAAGGAGTGAGGGGGTGAGACAGACAGTGAAAAAAGGGTCCTAAAGTAACAAAGCAAGAGCAATGTTCTCTTCAAGGAAGGAATTGGGAGCAAAGATGCAAGGAGGCCTAAATAAGGCTGTTCTCTCCCCCCCCCGGTTTTCTTTTTTGGGGGGAGGGAAGGGGAGATATCGAGTTGCAGAGAAGTTTTGCAGGATTAGGAGGAGTGATAAGATAGCACAGTAGGTAGCCTCAGAATAAGATAACAAAGGAGGAGCCACAGAAATGAATGGTGCTTCATGGTGATTCTCCTGCCTCTTGCTGTATTGGAAAGCAGAGACCTGTGGCAGTTGGCCAGTTCGACAAGGAAGGTGATAAAAATAAATTACATCTTCTGTTTCCAATACAGGGAGAGATGTTTCTAAAAGAAAGTGGGAAAGGAACTTCTTTACAGGGAGAAACGGTACTTACAAGATCCAAAACTCCTTGTCTGTTCTCTATAAAGTGGTGTCATGATGGACTCCATAACATAGATGCTTGGCTCCAAACAGGGGTTTGGAACAGTCCACCTCTGGGACTGGATATGTTCATGAATGTTCATCTGGAAGAGAAATCCAAGTTCAAAATGAAGGAAACACTTTCTTTGCCTCTCAAAGAGCACACATGAAGCTGAGAGGAACGAATCAGAGAACCTGTGGCCAAGCAGTTTGAGATTTCCAGTAGTGTCCTGGGTGGTCCTTGCTGTTAGATTCTATTAATGTCATCTGTGGAGAATGTTTTCCTTCAAAACCTGATTGAAATTGGGATAAGAGATTTTCCCAAATAGCTTCATTTACAGTTTAGCATGAGCAGAACACATTTGTTAGCACTATTTTTTTGGCCTAAAGTTGCAAACCAGGATGTATGCCCCAAATTTCAATAGAGACTAAGGAAACAGTTGTCTTGGAGTTTTTTGGCTCAGATGGACATACATTTTTTGCTATAAAGGTAGCATTAAAAAGGACTAGCATTCTCTCTCAGAAACAGCACTACAGAGATTGTTTTTGCAAAAAGCAACAGAAACCTGTAAGAAAGGTTGGGACTGGAACTATCCAAGATGATAAATAGTGGGCCTGTCCTCTTGCACCATCTTTCCTCTTGGGTTTGGTATCAGCTGTGTGGTCTCTGGAAACTAAAGGAAAGCTCACCAGGGTGTACCCATTCCCCTGACTTCTCAATAACATATAGGGAAAATGTGACTTGTACCATAAAGTGACTGTAACTGTAGGTCATGGCAGGCAAAGGAGGTATTCTGCATGTTAGACTGTAACGTCTGTTATGTCTTGTGGTTAGGAGAAGGCAACTGGCCTGTTGGTAATCTTGTATCATCCTCCTGGTGGGAAAGCTGTCCAAGTTCTTTGTTTAACCACACAGTGCGGAGTAAACTGTCAGTTTCCCAAGAACGGGAAATCCAAAGTGGATCTGTTCTTAGAGATCCAGAATAAATACGTTATTTATCATACCTGACTCATTCATCCCACTACACTGACTTTCCCATAGACAGATTAGACAGATTCTGTATATGACTAATGGCATTTTTGGGGTGTTAGATATTCCAAAGTCATCTCCTCAAGGGAAGAAATTTCATGTTTCAACAACTTACAAGTGTTGGCTGCAGTTACTGCAAAGAATGGAGTTGTAATTAGTTCTCTAAGATCTTTATAGAGATGCCTGAAAAAGAGGGAAGTCGGTATTGGAAGTCAGAGAGGTCAGTAAAGCAGCTGAGCGCTGGCAGCCCCTGCCTCGATGTTGCTGTGCTGGGGGAGCTGGTGCTTCCTGAGCTCCGGGAGGGGTCTGGCTGCCTCCACGGGACCGGGAATCCTCTTTGCGGGCAGGCAGCCCTGCACTGTCCTCCTGAGAGCAGCCTCCCAAGCCAGGGCTGCACTCCCATCTGCTCACGGGGCTGCACCTGCCTTTCATTTCACCAGCAGCGGCCACGTGGAGAAGAAAATGAATGTGCGGTTCAGGCAGTGGCCTTCGCTTCCGAAGTTCCGGGTTCAAATCCTCACTATGCTGCATTTTAATTACTACCTGCCTAAGGAGGAGAAGGGGATGATTATTAGTCTGGGACCTTCCATTCCTTTTTGTTTGTTCGGTTTTGTTGTTGTCTCTTTTTTGTTTCTTTTTACCATGGATTTTAACAAAGGCTGCTCTTCTTTCCTGTTTGCTTGTATCTCATCTGTGGCAATAATCTTTACACAAGTGACTGCTCTATAAACATACCACTAATGGTTCTGAAGACCAAACACGTCTCCCATCCATTTCCTTTGCACTATGAAAAACAGAGAAGCTGCTTATAAAATCTGTATAAATGGCCACCCGCCTTGGCCATGGCTCCAGCAGCACAGAACTGACATGAGGGTGTTCTGAGTGCTTCTTTGCAGTTGGAGTCTATCTCGTGTAGTGTCAGCTAGTGTAGTGACTCTTTGTAGATGGGAGGCTGAGCCATATTCCGGCATATTCAGCATCAGAGATGAGCAGACACAGCAGACATAAGTCTACTGCCTGCTTCCCTCATGTCTGTGCTGGCCATGCCTTAGGTCTAGCATTGTATTTTCCTTTGCACTCTTTAAACTTGCTTAGAAATCAGAGACAAAGCAGGTGCCCCTCTGCCTACTCACGCTCTTTACTGCTTCATCAGCCCCACCATGTATCTTTACACTTCAGTTCAACGTCTGCTGCAGCTTGTGCTGACAGCCTGAGGAGAGACTGACACTAAACAAGCAGGGTAACCGCTATCAGGTCCCATGCAGGCGCTCAGCTGGCCGGGCTAGGGTAATGCCATGCTTACTGGGGACATGCTAACCTTGCCAGGTGACATCAGCTTCTGCAAAGGCCCCTTAAAGGACTCTGGCAACTCATTGCATGTGAATTCTCAACCCAGCCACCATTCATGCGAAGCAGCATCTCACATTTTTTTCTATCCTAAGGGCAGATAAAGTGACTATAACTGGTCTCAGAGTTGTTGGTCACCTTGAGCCTGACTCAGCTTCTATTGAAAGCCACTGGGGTTTGCCATTGACTTCAGTGGAAGGCTTTAGCTTTTATCAGATCATTTGTTGTTTGTTGCAAGTTTGATTTCCATGTGATATATCTGGATGCTTTCAGTTATCGCACTGCCTTTGAAATGGGAAATCGATGAGCTGTTATCTCTGGGAGCTTGTTAGGTTGATATTTGTTCCTTCAGATCATAAGTAAATTTGTGCCAAGCAACAAGGCTATATAGTTCTTCATTCTTAGTTTGGTAGGAACAACTTCTTTTGGTCGTCCTGTCCCCTTCCCCATCATATAACTGCTTTAGCCTGAGTCAGAGCTGCAAGACTATGGATTTGTCTTTGAGAAAGCACTGTGCTGATGTATATATCTGTTGTGTCCTTGTCTCCTCGGCATCTGTAGCTCCTGCAACTTAAGGAACTCTTGAATTCAGTTCGTGAAATAGTCACTGATGATGCCAGCACCAGCCATCAGTTGTTTATATATATTTCAGTGTTTTGTTACCTGCTGAGAAAATTGAAAAGTAGATTCCTAGTAGCATTACTGATTATTGTACACTCACAAATAGTTGGCTAATATATGTCAAACAAGATTGCCCAGAGGCTATTTTCTTACCCAAGGCTTTACCTCTCTATGTATTAGTAAGCAAGTTCCTTCGTCTCTCTAAGTAGAGTACAGTTACTTCTGCAGAAATGTTGGAAGACATTTTTCAGAAGAGCAGAGTCATCCAGACCATGACATTTAAAATATAGACTCCATATTCTTAGTCTCTTGCATTTTACAGCTGGCCTTTAGATAAGTTACTAACTCATTTGCAATTATAAAAGAAGATCAACTGAACCCACATGCAGACATTCTCATAAGCTACAGAGATAATGTACTTAGGTAGGAATCAGCTATTAATTTAGCTCATGGCTGAACTTCCTTTACCAATCTTTCTGCTGTCAAGAAGAATATTTTACCTTCTTGTGTTTGACTCCTGGTATTACGGCAGACCACTCTTCCTGTTTACCATTTCTCTAGCTTTCATGTTTTGGTCCTGGCTGTATGAGGGACTGAACAGTCAGCATTAGGCTGTGAGAAGTACTTGGAGGTAGGGAAGGGGTGGTGAATGAGAGGTATGCAGGGCTGGGAAATTAGAAGAACAGATTAAGGCAGTAGGAATGCAGTTGCTCTTCTGGGGAAGGGAGTTAAAGAGGAGACAGTCTCCAGGCTCTAGGACCAAGTTATACAAAGATGTCTTTGCAAATGAACCAAAGGCTGAATTTTGTCTTTTAAAAACTCTGCAGTCCTTTGCAGACAGGCAAGTTTACCATCATTACAAAAGACAGGAGGGAAAAAGGGAACTCCCTAAATTACACAGTCAAGAAGTGGTCACAGTGGTAACAGCCAGACTCACAATGTGGAAGGGTGTGGAGTTAGCAGCAATCACACTGGCCTTGCTCTAGCTAGGGGAACACTTACTGACTTTGCCTCTTCCTTTCTTCTTTGTCTTGAATTGAGCAGTTCCAGTGTCTCATGTAGAAATGATCTCCCTCAGCATGTGTATGTACATCTCTACTTTTGGAGGCTTAGCAGCTTTCTTTGTGCCTGTTTTATTAAACAGAAATAAATATGTATCCATCATGTTCTCAAATGCAGGAAGCACAGAAACTTTCTACTGTTGCTATTATAACATATCTTTGTAACAAGGAGGATTATTTTAAGCTTCTCCTCATCTGATTACATTGTTCAGCAAGTTATCCTCTATTTCTTTTAATGGGTTATAATAAATGAAACTAATTTGAAAAATCTGGCCACAGAAAAGATATTTGACTCTAAAGTGTCTCTACATTGCAGGAAGAGTTTGGTTTTATATTAAAATATGTATTTAATTACAGATAGCTTCAACATTCAGGAAGTAATATTTCTATCAAAGTTCCTGATCCTATGAAAATCTTATAGCTTTTTAAAAATTCACTGTAGAACTCAGCAATAGGCAAATACGAGATAGATGTCCCTGAAGGTCTAAGGAGATTTTTCATATCTCTCCTTTGCCTTAGCATTTCTTAAAACTTTTCTCTGAGTAGAAGAAGAGGAATTAGATCACTTGTCTTGGCTTTCTAAACACCAGGATGAGATCCCACCCTATCCAAACAACCCAGGAGCCCTACTCATGACATGACAACCAACTGTGTGGGATCTTTGTTAAATAAGATGACCATAAATAAGCCATAAGATACATGTGAATCTGTAATTTTCATTCATTGTAAGGAACATGACAGCATATATCTAACAGTAGAGTTTAAACCGACATTTTCTTCCTAACCTAAAACCTGCCCATGAGCCTGTTCTGCACTTGAGAATATCACTTCATTTTTTTTTGTGCAAAATGCAGCAACAAGGAGGCAGGTATTTTGCATGACCCATTGATTAGAAATGTTGTGTGTCAGCTTCAGAAAATCTCAAGGGGCTTGGCATGCAATGCTATGCTGAACACTACAAATTCACAGGTGTTGCGACCAGAAAGAACAATTAGGAAGGAGCAAAATTTGACCTTCTGCAGGCTACAAAGTATCTCTTACAGCTGTGAGAGAAGTCCATACCTTCCAGTTTAACTGATAAGTTGTTATTACAATTCTAGGCTGATTTCACTACCTAAAATTATGGAAAATCCACCTCAATCTTCAGTGTTTAAATTTGCTCCTTATCTCAGCTGACCTTGTTTACCCTTTGTTTCTTGTCACTGATGTTGCTCTGCCTTTAGCTGTGCTCACTGTTTGATTGCATAACTGGCTACTATTCCCAAACAGATATTTACACACCGCAGTCAATCAGCTTTTTACTTTTCCTCTTCTTAATTATCTTCTGAGTCAGGTAGATAATCTGCAGTCATTCCTCACTGTTGTACCTGCCTTTTCATGAATTGGATTATTCCAGTGCCAAATTATCCACCTTCTAGTGACCATTCTAGTGAATCATTCGTTCTGTTCTTGTTAAACGTTGCCATAATATTAAATATTTTCCTTCAAACTTCTGTGTTAGTTATCTAGCACATTAGGTACTGCTGTTTAAGAATTTATTTTATTCCTGKTAGAATAGGAAGTATCTCCTGGATAACATAATACAGAATTTATCTGCCAGCTTTCTTTGACATGTAAAGAATCTTAAGTTTTTATTCATTGCTACCTAAATCTTTATTATCCATACCTACTAATGGATTTTAACACTATTACTAGTGTTTCTTTCACTCTGAAGTATCTATGGTCATTAAATTAACTCTGCAAGTTTTAGGACATTTTATATTCTGCCCTTCATGTAGGAAATTTTTAATTAATATCCAAGCTGGGTAAGAAAGTAGATTTTCATTGTAAGATGTACCTTCATTGTCAATTGGTGTATATAACCTTATGGTTTCAGGTATACACACTTTACTCCTCCCCATTCATAATAGTCTATAATTTTGTAAGCCCTACTAACAGAATCAGTTCTTTCAAACTCAGATGTATAGTCCAAATTGGACTCGATAGAAGTATCTGTTTTATCCATGAATATAAATAACAGACATTAAATTATCATACAATGCTGATCCGATGCTAAAAATGATGAAGTTAATCTTAAAAGAGTCCGCTAGTCAAATATTTCCTTTTTCTCATGACTATGCACTCTCTTATAGACTATTTTTTTCAGTTATTTCAAGCAGAACATTTTTTCATAGGATGGATTTCATGATACAAAATAAATACTAAATCTAGATGCAAGTCTATCAAATCATAAAATAATTAAGGTTGAAGAGGACCTCTGGAGGTCAGATAGTGTAAATCACACTAAGAGCAGGACCAATTTTGAAGGTAGATCCAAGTGTACCAGTAAATACAAGAGTGACTATAAAAAAGCTGAATGATGCCCCATTCCTCTTTCAAAATTAACCGTCCAGGAAGTACATGATTTATCAATATGATGACAGAGGGGTGTTGCTATTATATTTTTTATTCTCACAACTGATTTGCATCAGATTGTATCGCTCAAGGTAATGTCTCACTGTGCATCCTTAACACACGTTTGGGAGCGTAACTCCAATGAGTGAATTGGAAATCACCATAAAAATCTCTTATGGCAGAATCCAAATCACTTTGAAGTCTTCTGTGTCATCAAAAGCTGAAGAATTGATCTTTTGTTTAAGCATATAGTGTGCAACAAGCTGACTTTATGATTTTTCTTTAACTATATGCATTTGAACAATTTCTCTTCCTGATTATGAAATGATCTTAGTAAAATTAGCCTCTGGATGGAAAGGTACTTGACAGAAAACAGCAAAGTGATTTTTTTTTGTGTATGTGTCTGTGTATAAAATGCTATTGTAACATTTGCTTTTATGGTCTTATTCTCTATTTACTACAGTTTTTTGACATCTGTCCCTGTCTCTTTTCATCAAATATTTATCTGCAGCAGCTGAAAGAGCCTCATTTGTTTTAATTAAAAATAGGACCACCAAGCTGGGATCACTTCCTCAGCACTTCCATGGCTTACAGAGACAGACAGTAGATCTTGTGAGGTTTTCCTGAGGGTGGCCCACTGACAGGCTTTCCCTCCTCCCTATATCCTTCCCTTTTGCACCATGTTTATTTTTGGATAGAAAAAAATGTAATCATAGCCACATTCCAGACAAAGAAACTTTTTACAGTTAACATGCATGAGAAAGGAGGAAGATCATGTTGTGTTGGGTTTGGTGTTTCATTATAAGAAACCATTTTCTAATTTGTGGCTTCTGGAATGGAATTATCATTGCCACAGAAACACAGGAATTATCATAGCAATGAGGCTTCTAGCTCTGCATGCTGATACTGACACTGGCAGCAGGCACTTAAGGATAAAAAATAAAATCTGCTGAGGAATATCCTACTGATGGAAAAAATTTTAAGCATTTTTTTCTCATCTGTTAATACCTATCTTCTGTCTTTGCATTTCTTTTTCTCAGTGTTAACTTGAGAGGAAAAAAGCAAAGMAGCAGCCTAAAATACCTTTTGTTTCCAAAGCTGGTATTCTAAGGCCATGGTGCACGCAGATGCCTTTTGGCACTATAATAGTTCTAGGGTATTTGGTACATTCTCTTCTCACTTTTACATGTCATAGACAAGTACTTTCAGAGGGCACAGGCAGAGTGCTCATGACTTCCAGAGATGGTAAGATGATTTTTAGGCTCAGGATCCCAATTAAATTGCATTGCATCAATGACCTTTCAAAGCCATCTTAATTATTTTAGTTTTTGTAAATGGGATTTTAAAATTAGATTTTACATTTATGAAGACTATCAAGCTAGACTTTTTTTTCATAGACCATCTTCTCATTCTTTATCTTAGATGAAAATTAAAGAGAAAAATACCTCTGTGAATAACCATATTAAAATGGTTATATCCTCACTTGTCAGAATTACCTTGAAAAGAGGACCTGTTTTAATCTCCTCCAGCAATGTTACAGTCATACAGTGCTTAGATAGGTATTTTTTACAGTGGCTTGTTAGATACAAAACATCGATTATCTGTAAAATTAAAATCCTTCTCCTTTTCCTTCATTTTCTTTCCTTCTTTTCTCCATTTTTTTCCTTCTCCAGACATATAAAGCCCTAGTCAGTGTAGAAGTTTACTTTGGGGGAGTAAACAGTAACATTTTATTTTTCATAATACACTTATTTGTTAAGTACACATACAGTACATTTCAGAACATGTATATGAAAAGCTGGAGATTTACCAAGAAGTCAAAGGAGATTTTATTGCAGCATCCCTTCCAATTCGAAGTATTAGCTCCTGTGCCACAGAACAGTCATGTTGCTGTATAACCTCCTCACACAGGCTGGGTCTGTATTCTGTAGGGGATGTATGAGCAAATCTGGCATAAAAAACTAAGGGCAAAGATTTCAGAAGTAAACCTATATCGTTAAAGAGTCCACACTCCACCGAAAAGTACTTGATTCTTAAGTTATCTTCTATGGACACTTACTATTTCAGTAACTCTTCAGACAATAATCCACTGTATTATAGATACAATATTGTACTGTATGTTTCTAAAAATTCATTATGACATAAAGGAAAACAATGAATTATGCAACTTGGAATCTGAATTTAATCCTTTTTTTTCCTTTTTTTTTTTTTTTTTCAAAGCCAGGAGGCAGCACCACAGATTAGCTTCACTGAACAACAGATTGGCAGTCAGGAACCTAGATTTTCTTTCCAGTTCTGCCACTGAATTGAGGGTCACCTTCATCAAATCCTACTTCTACTCTGTAACATGTAACTGTAAGTTCACTTTTAGAAGCATTTTAAATGAGAATGTACCCTAGTTTTGATGATGATTGCTTACAATGGTAAGTGAAATCAGGGTTAAACTAATTTAAGGGAGATTTTATTAACTAGAAAGATTATGAGCTTGTCAAAAAGATATTAATTAAAGTCTGGGGACTGCTTGCTAATGTCATTCTAAATTAATAGCTAATGGTTTACTCTAAAAGTGGAGTGCAGCTGCAAGAACATCAGGCTCAAAGGAAACG